CTTTTGACAATGTAGATAGCCCAGCCTCAGCTCTCAAACAGCAAGGCATTTATGTGATTGGCATTGGAACTAGGACCTCAGATGCTAGAGAGCTGCAGAAAATATCATATGAGCCCAGTTATGCTCTGTCAGTGTCCGAGTTCACTGACCTTCCCAGTGCCCAAGAACAGCTCTCTTCTGTAATGAGCAAAGTGATAGTGAGGGCCACGCCCATGACACCAACAGTGACCGGTAAGAACGTGACTCCTTTGTAATCTCCAGTATCATGGTAGGAAACAGTGTGAAAAGAAACCAAATGTGATTTGCTGTGTTCAGTTAGCTAGTGGATTGTCTTTTTTTTTTTTTTAAATAGTTGTGCTTGCGAAGAAAGAGTTCAATTTCAAGATGTTTCTCTTTAGCTGCAAAATATTTGATTGACCAAGTTAAACATATGGTAAATCTCATGTCTCTTAGTGGTCAGACAGCCAGCAGGAAGGGATGTGGTGTTTTTGCTGGATGGATCTGATGCTACTAGAAGTGGATTCCCAGCTATGAGAGACTTTGTCCAAAACAAGTAGACACACTCAGTGTGGATGATGGCAAAGACCGTGTGTCGGTTGTTCAGTACAGCAGCGATCCAGCCGTCCAGTTCTATCTGAACACGTACACCACAAAAAGAGAGGTCCTTGACAGTGTCAGAGGTTTGAGGCACAAAGGCGGACGACCCCTCAACACTGGAGCAGCTCTCCGGTACTTGAGGGATAACGTCTTCACGGCCTCTGCCGGAAGCAGGCGGCCGTCAGGAGTTCCGCAGGTCCTAATATTGATCACTGGTGGAAGATCATTTGACAGTATTGATGAACCAGCCTCTGCTCTCAAACAGCTGGGTGTCTTGACCATTGCAATTGGAACCCGAGGCTCTGACCCCAGAGAACTTCAGACCATAACTGGCGAGCCCAGTCATGCTGTATCTGTGTCTGAGTTCACTGACCTTCCCAATGTTCAAGAACAGCTCTCTTCTGTAATGAGCACAGTGCCAATGAGGGTCACACCTTTGACCCCAACAGTAACTGGTAAGAACATGACCCATCTTCAAAGTCCAGTATCATTGTAGGAAACAGTGTGAAAAGAAATCATTTGGTTTTGCTGTGTTTAATCAGCCAGTGGATTGTTTTTCCTTTTTTTTGTTCTGTTTTCGTTTTTGTTTTTTGTTTTTTTTATAAAATAGTTGTGGTTGTAAAGAAAGAGTTCACTTTTACCATGGTGCTTTTTAGCTGCAAAATATTTGATTGACCAAGTTAAACATATGGTAAATCTCATGTCTCTTAGTGGTCAGACAGCCAGCAGGAAGGGATGTGGTGTTTTTGCTGGATGGATCTGATGCTACTAGAAGTGGATTCCCAGCTATGAGAGACTTTGTCCAAAAACAAGTAGACACACTCAGTGTGGATGATGGCAAAGACCGTGTGTCGGTTGTTCAGTACAGCAGCGATCCAGCCGTCCAGTTCTATCTGAACACTTACACCACAAAAAGAGAGGTCCTTGACAGTGTCAGAGGTTTGAGGCACAAAGGCGGACGACCCTCAACACTGGAGCAGCTCTCCGGTACTTGAGGGATAACGTCTTCACGGCCTCTGCCGGAAGCAGGCGGTCCTCAGGAGTTCCGCAGGTCCTAATATTGATCACTGGTGGAAGATCATTTGACAGTATTGATGAACCAGCCTCTGCTCTCAAACAGCTGGGTGTCTTGACCATTGCAATTGGAACCCGAGGCTCTGACCCCAGAGAACTTCAGACCATAACTGGCGAGCCCAGTTATGCTCTATCTGTGTCTGAACTTACTGACCTACCCAAAGTGCAACAGCAACTTGAGTCCTCTGTGGAAGCTGCAGTTTTTGAAGTCAGCCCAGAATTATCAACCGTAATTGGTACGTTGTCAGACACATCCTATTGCTGGCTCCAAAAGTTGCTAATTTCAGCTACAGTGAGGAAAAGCAAATAAATGAATGTGATGTTTGTATAGGTTTTTTGTGCATTTCAAACCAGTTGGTAGCATGCTGTGGTCTTTCTAAAACAGAAGTAGGCCAGGCTAGTGTTGTTAAAATATTAGTGTGCCAGTGAAAGATAATTTCACAAGCTTTGTGAAAGGTTTTCATTTTTTTGTCCTACTGTCTTTTCTCAGCTTCACGTGTCATAAAAGATATTGTATTCCTTCTGGATGGTTCTGATGGCACAAGGAATGGCTTTCCTGCCATGCGTGATTTTGTAGAGAGAGTGGTGGAGAAAATCAATGTGGGAGAAAACAAAGACCATGTCTCTGTGGTCCAGTACAGCAGAGAACCAGAGGTCCATTTCTATCTGAACACATATACCACAAGGGAGGATGTGGTGGACTCGGTCAGAGGGCTTAGACACAGAGGAGGAAGACCCCTAAACACTGGGGCAGCTCTCCAATACGTCAGAGACAACGTCTTTACAAACTCCTCTGGAAGTAGACGCCTGCAGGGTGTCCCACAGATATTGATCTTACTAACTGGGGGAAGGTCTTTTGATAATGTAGATAGCCCAGGCTCAGCTCTCAAACAGCAAGGCATTTATGTGATTGGCATTGGAACTAGGACCTCAGATGCTAGAGAGCTGCAGAAAATATCATATGAGCCCAGTTATGCTCTGTCAGTGTCCGAGTTCACTGACCTTCCCAGTGTCCAAGAACAGCTCTCTTCTGTAATGAGCAAAGTGATAGTGAGGGCCACGCCCATGACACCAACAGTGACCGGTAAGAACGTGACTCCTTTGTAATCTCCAGTATCATGGTAGGAAACAGTGTGAAAAGAAACCAAATGTGATTTGCTGTGTTCAGTTAGCTAGTGGATTGTCTTTTTTTTTTTTTGTAAAATAGTTGTGCTTGCGAAGAAAGAGTTCAATTTCAAGATGTTTCTCTTTAGCTGCAAAATATTTGATTGACCAAGTTAAACATATGGTAAATCTCATGTCTCTTAGTGGTCAGACAGCCAGCAGGAAGGGATGTGGTGTTTTTGCTGGATGGATCTGATGCTACTAGAAGTGGATTCCCAGCTATGAGAGACTTTGTCCAAAAACAAGTAGACACACTCAGTGTGGATGATGGCAAAGACCGTGTGTCGGTTGTTCAGTACAGCAGCGATCCAGCCGTCCAGTTCTATCTGAACACGTACACCACAAAAAGAGAGGTCCTTGACAGTGTCAGAGGTTTGAGGCACAAAGGCGGACGACCCCTCAACACTGGAGCAGCTCTCCGGTACTTGAGGGATAACGTCTTCACGGCCTCTGCCGGAAGCAGGCGGCCGTCAGGAGTTCCGCAGGTCCTAATATTGATCACTGGTGGAAGATCATTTGACAGTATTGATGAACCAGCCTCTGCTCTCAAACAGCTGGGTGTCTTGACCATTGCAATTGGAACCCGAGGCTCTGACCCCAGAGAACTTCAGACCATAACTGGCGAGCCCAGTCATGCTGTATCTGTGTCTGAGTTCACTGACCTTCCCAATGTTCAAGAACAGCTCTCTTCTGTAATGAGCACAGTGCCAATGAGGGTCACACCTTTGACCCCAACAGTGACTGGTAAGAACATGACCCATCTTCAAAGTCCAGTATCATTGTAGGAAACAGTGTGAAAAGAAATCATTTGGTTTTGCTGTGTTTAATCAGCCAGTGGATTGTTTTTCCTTTTTTTTTTGTTCTGTTTTCGTTTTTGTTTTTTGTTTTTTTTATAAAATAGTTGTGGTTGTAAAGAAAGAGTTCAATTTTACCATGGTGCTTTTTAGCTGCAAAATATTTGATTGACCAAGTTAAACATATGGTAAATCTCATGTCTCTTAGTGGTCAGACAGCCAGCAGGAAGGGATGTGGTGTTTTTGCTGGATGGATCTGATGCTACTAGAAGTGGATTCCCAGCTATGAGAGACTTTGTCCAAAAACAAGTAGACACACTCAGTGTGGATGATGGCAAAGACCGTGTGTCGGTTGTTCAGTACAGCAGCGATCCAGCCGTCCAGTTCTATCTGAACACATATACCACAAGGAAGGATGTGGTGGACTCGGTCAGAGGGCTTAGACACAGAGGAGGAAGACCCCTAAACACTGGGGCAGCTCTCCAATACGTCAGAGACAACGTCTTTACAAACTCCTCTGGAAGTAGACGCCTGCAGGGTGTCCCACAGATATTGATCTTACTAACTGGGGGAAGGTCTTTTGACAATGTAGATAGCCCAGCCTCAGCTCTCAAACAGCAGGGCATTTATGTGATTGGCATTGGAACTAGGACCTCAGATGCTAGAGAGCTGCAGAAAATATCATATGAGCCCAGTTATGCTCTGTCAGTGTCCGAGTTCACTGACCTTCCCAGTGTCCAAGAACAGCTCTCTTCTGTAATGAGCAAAGTGATAGTGAGGGCCACGCCCATGACACCAACAGTGACCGGTAAGAACGTGACTCCTTTGTAATCTCCAGTATCATGGTAGGAAACAGTGTGAAAAGAAACCAAATGTGATTTGCTGTGTTCAGTTAGCTAGTGGATTGTCTTTTTTTTTTAAAATAGTTGTGCTTGCGAAGAAAGAGTTCAATTTCAAGATGTTTCTCTTTAGCTGCAAAATATTTGATTGACCAAGTTAAACATATGGTAAATCTCATGTCTCTTAGTGGTCAGACAGCCAGCAGGAAGGGATGTGGTGTTTTTGCTGGATGGATCTGATGCTACTAGAAGTGGATTCCCAGCTATGAGAGACCTTGTCCAAAAACAAGTAGACACACTCAGTGTGGATGATGGCAAAGACCGTGTGTCGGTTGTTCAGTACAGCAGCGATCCAGCCGTCCAGTTCTATCTGAACACTTACACCACAAAAAGAGAGGTCCTTGACAGTGTCAGAGGTTTGAGGCACAAAGGCGGACGACCCCTCAACACTGGAGCAGCTCTCCGGTACTTGAGGGATAACGTCTTCACGGCCTCTGCCGGAAGCAGGCGGCCATCAGGAGTTCCGCAGGTCCTAATATTGATCACTGGTGGAAGATCATTTGACAGTATTGATGAACCAGCCTCTGCTCTCAAACAGCTGGGTGTCTTGACCATTGCAATTGGAACCCGAGGCTCTGACCCCAGAGAACTTCAGACCATAACTGGCAAGCCCAGTTATGCTCTATCTGTGTCTGAACTTACTGACCTACCCAAAGTGCAACAGCAACTTGAGTCCTCTGTGGAAGCTGCAGTTTTTGAAGTCACCCCAGAATTACCAACCGTAATTGGTACGTTGTCAGACACATCCTATTGCTGGCTCCAAATTTACTAATTTCAGCTACAGTGAGGAAAAGCAAATAAATGAATGTGATGTGTGTATAGGTTTTTTGTGCATTTCAAACCAGTTGGTAGCATGCTGTGGTCTAGGGCTGCCACAAACGATTATTTTGATAGTCGACTAGTCATCGATTATTTTTGCGATTAGTCGACTAATCAGATCATCATCCATTGGACGCAAAACTACAGCTTATTGCACCAGCAGCATCTGCTCTTATATAACTATCATTAGCTTACAGCCTTAAGTGTTTATTCTTAGTTAGCGTATTGTCTGTCTTGTCTTAATGTTGGTTTAAAATGGAGCACTGTAACAAAAAATAATTTCCCCCAGGGATCAATAAAGTATTCTGATTCTGATTAAGGTCTGTGCTAACTAAAAATAAAGACAAGATGATAGTTTATTAAATTTTAATGAAATTTGCGGATTGTTTCGGTGAAGTTTAATAAACTCCTTGCTATCTAAAATATAACAGGACACTGGAGTATATTCTGGAGCATCTCACACTTCTGATAATCAGTTGTCTGCTTGACGTTTATTCAGCTGTGTAAAAACTATAACTTTAATCTCAGACAAACTGATTTACTCAGGAACAAATAAAATACTAAAAAAAAGCCAAACAATAACATTTTAAGTTATCTAAGTGACTCATATATATTTAACCTGAGTAGCGAAAGACGGCGGTGGGTTTGAAAACGATTTGCGGGGAGTCCCGTGTTCTCACGGCGCTAGTGAGCCTAGCCCCCCGCTCGCTAACGAGCTAGTGGGTAACAGATGTCTCCGAAAACGTCGGAGCGCTTTTGAAAATATGTGGTGTCCTGATAAACTGAGCAGATATTTGAGGTTTACACAGCTATATTCTCGCCTGAAAATATGTTAAACGTTTATTTTGTGACCCAGAAAGAATAATAAGAGTAACATTAAAACTAACCAGCTGCCGCCATTGTTGGAAACTGCGCTGGGCCGCGCTATGAATTCTGGGACACAGCTGCTTCTTCTTCTTCGGGGTTTAACGGTAGCTGACATCCTTGTACATGCAATGCTGCCATCTTCTGTTTCAGTCCGTTATTACACTCTTAAATCCTGCCACTTATTCCTGCGTCTTTTGTGATCTTACAAAGCTTCAAACGACGCGTCGACTATTAAATCAGTCGTCGACGATTTTGATAGTCGACGTAATCGTGACTAGTCGACAAATCGTGGCAGCCCTACTGTGGTCTTTCTAAAACAGAAGTAGGCCAGGCTAGTGTTGTTAAAATATTAGTGTGCCAGTGAAAGATAATCTCACAAGCTTTGTGAAAGGTTTTCATTTTTTTGTCCTACTGTCTTTTCTCAGCTTCACGTGACAGAAAAGATATTGTATTCCTTCTGGATGGTTCTGATGGCACAAGGAATGGCTTTCCTGCCATGCGTGATTTTGTAGAGAGAGTGGTGGAGAAAATCAATGTGGGAGAAAACAAAGACCATGTCTCTGTGGTCCAGTACAGCAGAGAACCAGGGGTCCATTTCTATCTGAACACATATACCACAAGGGAGGATGTGGTGGACTCGGTCAGAGGGCTTAGACACAGAGGAGGAAGACCCCTAAACACTGGGGCAGCTCTCCAATACGTCAGAGACAACGTCTTTACAAACTCCTCTGGAAGTAGACGCCTGCAGGGTGTCCCACAGATATTGATCTTACTAACTGGGGGAAGGTCTTTTGACAATGTAGATAGCCCAGCCTCAGCTCTCAAACAGCAGGGCATTTATGTGATTGGCATTGGAACTAGGACCTCAGATGCTAGAGAGCTGCAGAAAATATCATATGAGCCCAGTTATGCTCTGTCAGTGTCCGAGTTCACTGACCTTCCCAGTGTCCAAGAACAGCTCTCTTCTGTAATGAGCAAAGTGATAGTGAGGGCCACACCCATGACACCAACAGTGACCGGTAAGAACGTGACTCCTTTGTAATCTCCAGTATCATGGTAGGAAACAGTGTGAAAAGAAACCAAATGTGATTTGCTGTGTTCAGTTAGCTAGTGGATTGTCTTTTTTTTTTTAAATAGTTGTGCTTGCGAAGAAAGAGTTCAATTTCAAGATGTTTCTCTTTAGCTGCAAAATATTTGATTGACCAAGTTAAACATATGGTAAATCTCATGTCTCTTAGTGGTCAGACAGCCAGCAGGAAGGGATGTGGTGTTTTTGCTGGATGGATCTGATGCTACTAGAAGTGGATTCCCAGCTATGAGAGACTTTGTCCAAAAACAAGTAGACACACTCAGTGTGGATGATGGCAAAGACCGTGTGTCAGTTGTTCAGTACAGCAGCGATCCAGCCATCCAGTTCTATCTGAACACTTACACCACAAAAAGAGAGGTCCTTGACAGTGTCAGAGGTTTGAGGCACAAAGGCGGACGACCCCTCAACACTGGAGCAGCTCTCCGGTACTTGAGGGATAACGTCTTCACGGCCTCTGCCGGAAGCAGGCGGCCATCAGGAGTTCCGCAGGTCCTAATATTGATCACTGGTGGAAGATCATTTGACAGTATTGATGAACCAGCCTCTGCTCTCAAACAGCTGGGTGTCTTGACCATTGCAATTGGAACCCGAGGCTCTGACCCCAGAGAACTTCAGACCATAACTGGCGAGCCCAGTCATGCTGTATCTGTGTCTGAGTTCACTGACCTTCCCAATGTTCAAGAACAGCTCTCTTCTGTATTGAGCACAGTGCCAATGAGGGTCACACCTTTGACCCCAACAGTGACTGGTAAGAACATGACCCATCTTCAAAGTCCAGTATCATTGTAGGAAACAGTGTGAAAAGAAATCATTTGGTTTTGCTGTGTTTAATCAGCCAGTGGATTGTTTTTTCTTTTTTTTTAGTTCTTTTTTTGTTTGTTTTTTTGTTTGTTTTTTTACAAAATAGTTGTGGTTGTAAAGAAAGAGTTCACTTTTACCATGGTGCTTTTTAGCTGCAAAATATTTGATTGACCAAGTTAAACATATGGTAAATCTCATGTCTCTTAGTGGTCAGACAGCCAGCAGGAAGGGATGTGGTGTTTTTGCTGGATGGATCTGATGCTACTAGAAGTGGATTCCCAGCTATGAGAGACTTTGTCCAAAAACAAGTAGACACACTCAGTGTGGATGATGGCAAAGACCGTGTGTCGGTTGTTCAGTACAGCAGCGATCCAGCCATCCAGTTCTATCTGAACACTTACACCACAAAAAGAGAGGTCCTTGACAGTGTCAGAGGTTTGAGGCACAAAGGCGGACGACCCCTCAACACTGGAGCAGCTCTCCGGTATTTGAAGGATAACGTCTTCACGGCCTCTGCCGGAAGCAGGCGACCATCAGGAGTTCCGCAGGTCCTAATATTGATCACTGGTGGAAGATCATTTGACAGTATTGATGAACCAGCCTCTGCTCTCAAACAGCTGGGTGTCTTGACCATTGCAATTGGAACCCGAGGCTCTGACCCCAGAGAACTTCAGACCATAACTGGCGAGCCCAGTTATGCTCTATCTGTGTCTGAACTTACTGACCTACCCAAAGTGCAACAGCAACTTGAGTCCTTTGTGGAGGTTGCAGTTATTGAAGTCACCCCAGAATTACCAACCATAATTGGTACGTTGTCAGACACATCCTAATGCTGGCTCCAAAAGTTACTAATTTCAGCTACAGTGAGGAAAAGCAAATAAATGAATGTGATTTTCTGGTGCATTTCAAACCAGTTGGAAGCATGCTTTGGTCTTTCTTAAACAGAAGTTGGCCAGGCTATTGTCTTTAAGACTTTGAGAACATAGTATGATCGTCTGAACTTCTGTGAGAACACAGAACTTTCCATCATCTGCTTTAAGCTACGATATTTAATTTTTTGTCAATCACTCTTTTGAACTTCTTATTGTTGAAGTTCATTTTAAATTGTCTTTTGAGGCTGCAGTTTTCATTATTATCCCCCAGCCACCAATCTTATTTAGTTTGTTATCCATTAAACCAACGATTCTTTCACTGCTATTTTCACCAAATAACCTCACGTCTTTTACATCTGTAGAATTTGTCACTTTTTGAACTACTATAGTTAAAAGCATTTAATAATATAAATCATTATACATGAAATGAATCAATTTGTCACATGCCATGTGCCAACATGCAGAGTAGTTGCCTAAATTCTAGCCCCACTCATTTCTTTTATCTCATAATGCCATTAAAAGTGTTATAAATGATTAATAATGCATATGAATTCTAACTGATTACAATGCTGAGGCTCCACCGATGAAGACAGTTTGCAATCAAAAGTGATTGAGTCCCTTGTATAACTCACAGACACACACATACTTTAATGCAGGTAACATGTAAGCTCTAGAAAACATGTTGCTATCTATACAAATTTATCTATACTGTAGAGATCTCTGGATAACCAGGATATCTTACTGTTAACCAATGATCCTTAAAACCAAGTCAACTCCAGTTTTCTTTTCACCACTGTAGCCAGGCTGACAATTAGTCAGAGCTCTGTTGAGCTCTTATTCTTTGAGACTGTTCAATAAAGTCCTGCAATTAAACTTAAATAGGATCTGTCTGTCTCTCTGAATATACCCACAAACATGTTTAACAGATCATTTTCATAACTTGAAAGTCCATCCATCCATCCATCTTCATCCGCTTTGTCCGGGGCCGGGTCGCGGGGGCAGCAGCCTAAGCAAAGAGGCCCAGACCTCCCTCTCCCCAGCCACCTCCTCCAGCTTATCCGGGGGAATACCAAGGCGTTCCCAGGCCAGCCGAGAGATATAATCTCTCCAGCGTGTCCTGGGTCTGCCCCGGGGCCTCCTCCCGGTGGGACATGCCTGGAACACCTCACCCAGGAGGCGCCCAACTTGAAAGTCAAATATAAATTTAATTTCAAAAACTTATGTACAAATTTTGCAAACAACATAAATATATACATAACTATTTACATTAAAATGCAGGCAATGTCTCAGGCATTTTTTGTGCAGTGATTTACAAACCAATAATGTATTACAATAGATGCCACAAGACAGATCAAACGTTCTTGTCCAGTCATTTTTGACCAGGATACGTCCTTTAATGTGCATATTCAGCACATTAAATTTATTGCAGCAATTGTGCAATAAATGAATAAACAAAAATAAAAACATCAAGTCTCGGAGTGATGCTGACAAACTAGTTATTGAATTTATTACTCCTAGGCTGGACTATTGTAATTAATTAGTGTTGCGCTGTCCTAAAAACTTCCTGGATCAGGTGACCTTGAATCCTCCGTTAGTTATGCTGCAACAGCTTTAGGCTGCTGGGTGACGTAAAATTATGTTGTTGTTTTGTTTTTTTAAATATAGAGCTCTCAAGAATGTTTGATTATCAGAAGAACATTTTAAAAGGGCCTTCTTTTCATTCATTTGGGGTCATACCTAAAGTCTAATTTTTTTGAGTTTCTCATTTGGAGAACCGGTGTTGAAATGTAAAATTTTCGTAATTTGATCTAATTTGGGGTTTTATGAAACTTTCTAGCTGAAAGTTTTGAAAAACTTGGAAATGAGTAAGATATATTAAGAGATATACAACTTTTTTTTTGTCAAAAACAGGAAAAAAGTGACTTATTTCTTCGAATATGCACCAGAATCTTCATGATAAAAAAAGATGTAGGCTCAATTTACCACCAATACGACCATTTTATTGTCATACATTGATGAAACTGAGCCTAATATCAACTTCTGTCTTTTCCAGCTGCATCACAGGGCCCCAAGAAGGATGTCGTGTTCCTCGTTGATGGATCTGATGGCGTTGGAAGGGAATTTCCAATCATCCAGGAGTTTATCCGCAGGGTCGTCGAGAGTCTCAATGTGGGCGAAAATAAAATCCGTGTTGGTGTGGTCCAGTATGGTGACACTGCTCGGGCTAATATGTATTTAAACACACATACAACCAAAGAAGGTGTTTTGAATGGCATCAAGGGAATGAGGAAGCAAGGTGGAACACAACGTAACCTGGGTCAGGCCTTACAGTTTCTCAATCAGGATATTCTGACAGCAGCACGGGGTAGCAGAAAACAGGATGGTGTTCCACAATTTGTTATTGTTGTGTCTAGTGGGCCTTCTACAGATGATGTCCGTCGTGCAGCTTCTTCTCTTAAACAATCTAGAGTTCTTCCATTCAGCATTGGGACCAGGGATGTGAACCCCACAGAGCTGAGGGTGGTGTCGTATATCTCCAATTACGCCCACGTAATAGATGACCTTCCTGGCCTGTACACAGTTCAAGAAGAATTAATCAACAAACTCACTGAGCTGTCAGATGAGGACATCAGCAGGTTGCGTCCAGAGTTCCCAACTTATGAAGGTAAATTGAATTTAATAAAATCTACAGGTTAACACAGTCCTCATTTATATTATTACTGTGTTACTACTATATTAAAGCTAGAATTATACCCCAAATCATACTGTATGTTATATATATTTATCTGTGTACACTATTAGGAACTCTCCATTCAGGATTAGTAATCAGACTGTGTTATTTTGCTTCTATTCCTTTCAAGCACCAGTACCATCTGTACCCACAGGAGGAGAAAAAAGGGATGTTGTATTTCTTATTGATGGCACAACAGCAGTGCGTAGTGAATTCCCTTCCATCCGTGATATGATAGGAAGAGTTGTGGAGAAGCTGGATGTAGGACTGGATAAGGTCCGAGTTTCAGTGGTTCAGTACAGCGATGATCCAAAGATAGAATTTCTATTGAATGCACACTCAACAAAAAATGAAGTGCTCCAGGCCGTGTCGAGACTTCGAAACAAAGGTGGAAATAATCTAAACACAGGACGTGCTCTCGAGTTTGTCGCCAGAAGAGTCTACCAGAGATCAGGCGGAAGCCGTCTTGAGGAACGTGTGCCTCAATTCCTCATTCTAGTTACGGCTGGCAAATCTACTGATGATGTATCCAGCTCAGCCAATGAACTCAAGAAAAGCCTGATAGCACCTCTGGCCATTGGTACAAGAAATGCAGACCAAGATGAACTGAGACAGATTTCCATGAAGCCAGAGCTTGTGTATACAGTTGACAGCTTGAGAGATTTTTCAAAGGTGGAAAAACAGCTTATTGATTCAGTCAAGAAAATATCCACCGATGATATCACTGAAATTTATACTCGTGTCCCAGAAGGTAAGAAATAGTGTGTAATCATTCTGTATATTTAAGACTCCAATTAAGTTCAACTGAAAGTGCTAAAGGCAGTTACTGATTGTCTACATCATTTGCTTTTTATAATTTACCTTCACTGTTATGGAGGCATTTCTTTCCTTATGTTGTGTTTTTTTTTTTTCAGTCATTCTAGATCTCGGGAAAAAGGACATTATTTTCCTAATTGATGGCTCAGATAATACAGATTCTGAAGGGATTGCTCACATCCGTGACTTCATCCTCAAAATTGTTGAACAACTTGATGTGCAGCCCGATAAAATTCGTGTCGCTCTTGTCCAGTATGCAGACAAAGTTAAAACTGAATTTTCGCTCAATTCACACAACAACAAGGCAGCTGTTCTCTCTGCTATCAGAAGACTCCGTCAGATGGGTGGACGATCGTCAGACCTGGCTGATGCTATTGATCACGTTCTGCGCTTTGAGTTAAACTCTTTTGCTGGTGCTCGACCAACTGAGGCCTCCCAGCATCTTGTGGTTCTCACAGGTGGACGTTCACCCCAAGATGTTTCCCTCTATGGACCTTTGCTCAAGACCTCCCGAGTTAACTGTATTGGTATTGGTGCTGATCGTGCTGACACAAGGCAACTGATGAGTATTTCCAAGAGCTCCGCTGATGTCATTCAGGTTTCTAAGTTCTCAAACCTGCCAACAATAAAGGACAAGTTTATTAACAGGTTGAATGTTGTTGAGGATACACCAGGATATGACACTCCAAGTAAGTAACACTAAAATGTACTCATTTTACAGGGCCTAGAATGATTAGGACGTGTTGTGGATTTGGACTAAAAACCAAGGTAAATATTTTCAATATAAACATATCTTAACATATCTGTATTTCCCTTCTTGTAGCACCAGGCCTGCCTCCATCTAAAAAGGCTGATATAGTGTTTTTGGTGGATGGCTCCATTAATGTGGGCCGTGAGGACTTCAAAGAAATCATGATTTTTATCAACAACTTAATTGATCTGTTCTTCACTGAGAGAGATAACTTACAGATTGGCTTGGCACATTATGCTGAAGATGTCAATGATGGCTTTTACCTCAACACATACAGTAACAGGGATGATATGCTAAATGCTCTTGGTCAAATAGAGTACAAAGGTGGACGCAGACTGAACACCGGTGCAGCCCTTCGCACTATTCAAGATGTTTACTTTTCTAAACAAAGGGGCAGTAGGGCTGATGAGGGCACTCCTCAAATTCTTATAACTGTCACTGGAGGAAACTCAGCTGATGACAGTAAATCAGCAGTGCTTGGCTTGAAGAATAAAGGTGTGAGAGTCTTTGCAGTGGGAGTGGGCAACATTCAGAATGAGTTGGAAAACCTGGCAAGTGAACCTTCCATGGTGGCTCGAGCAAGTACCGTTCAGGAACTCTCAGAGCTCAATGAACAAATCCTGGAAACTCTGGATGATGAAGTAAAAGGGAAGCTGTGTGTCGGTGCGAAAGAACTTGCTAAAAGTAAGAGAAGTAATATTATGTGTTTCTTGCTTGTCGATGATACATTAAATTAAATGATTAAAGGTTGTCACATGATTTGGGGTGACCAAAAGTGTCTAAGGTAAAATAATATTATGTTTTACAGCCTCCAATATAGAAGTGTTGGTCGGATTTGATGTGTCCGCCCAGAATATTTTCAGTTCTCAGACCAACCTCCAGAGCAAGATGGAGGCTATTTTGCAGAGGATTTCCAAAATGGCATCCATTAGCTGCTCCGATGGGCAGATTCCATCTGTACAAGTGGGCATGCTGGCCATGGATTCTGCTTCTGAGCCGGTCCAGCTGGACTTCACAACAAATCCAGATGAGTTATTTGAGGCTTTCAGAGCTTTGCGGAGTCGTGGCCCCTTTGTTCTCAATGGCAAGACCATATCAGCTTACACCAACAGATTCAAAGTCAGACAGGATGACACTGTCAAGGTTAGTTACTCAAATATACTAAAGTAGAAATGGCCCAAGCAGTTTACATGTGTCGGTGTCAGGGCTATTCTAGGAATATTTCAATATCTGCTAAAATAATGTATATCTCAAGTTGATGTTGAAAATGCCATGTATTGTCACAAGAGTCATAAAATTTCTCTTGTGCATTTGCTTCAACTGGTGCACTTCTTAGTTAACGTTTCATTCATGTATTAATAATCTGACTTGATTGGTTTAGCAACTTAGTGTAATTATTGAGCTGAGTTAGTTTGACCTATAGACATTGCCGACAAAACTCAAAAAAACCCAAAACAAAACAAGCAAAAAAACAAAGAAACCCCAAAACAAAACAAAAAAACACAAACAAACCAAAAGCTTTTTTTAGGTTGTTGGTTTTTACCTGGGACACCATATACCATCAGAATAGCTTTAGTATGCCATGACCTTGAATCTTTCCTGGAGCTAAAGTAAAAATTTCACATGAAATCAGCCAGATCCCCTCATTGTTGGGGTCAGTTGTTTAGGTTTGTCCTTGAATTGGTCACTGCCAGTGTATATTAATTGTATTTTTTTAATATTAAAGAATAAGATCAAGGCTAAAAAACCTTTTTGCCAAACTGTAGAGTTTAAACTTTAGAGTTTATACAGTGAAAAGACTATTGGAAACTTGAAAATTAAGAAAGTATAAAACTTGTATTTTTGCTATTTTCCCCTGAAGGTTGTTATTCATCTGACTGATGGTATTGATGCTCCATATGCTGAAATGAAAAGGCGAGTTGAGGAGCTTCGGCTGTCAGGTAAAAAGATGATGAAACATAAAGTGCACTCAGGTATTATCTATCCTGAAATCGCAAAGGTAATTAGTGAACTTAAATATGTTGCGTTTTGGAAAACAGGAGTGAACAGTTTCATTCTGGTTGGGTTGGAGGGGGTACCCAATTTGGAAGAGGCGTCGCTATTAGAATTTGGTCGTGGCTTCAGGTACACAAGACCCTTAAGACTGAATATCATGGACTTGGACTATGAGCTTCTGGAAGAACTGGTGGGTACTGATGATTAATACATAAAAACTATGCCTTTCATTTATGACACCCATAAACTGAAAATGCTTTCTTTTACTGCACAGGACAACATTGCAGAAAGAGAGATCTGTGGAGTGCCATGCAAATGTACTGGCAACAGAGGAGACAGAGGAGGAGTTGGACAGCCTGGATCTAAGGTATCTTATCCTAAAAAATACCCCTCAGTTATACTTGGAGATTTTGTTTTTAATTACAAAGCTTATATATGTTTTGTTTTTGTCTGTCAGGGTGGTCCAGGATTGTCAGGAAGTCAAGGACATCCTGGAGATGAAGGTGGACCTGTAAGTTTGAATGTTTTGTTTATGGTTGTTGTTCTATTATCTTCTTCATTTATCACCTCTCTGTGTCCTTTCTTAAGATTCTGTTCTGTGGTATTTTGTCAGTGAATTTTGTTGTCATGTTCTGTTAATACAGGGAGAACGGGGTCCTCCTGGTGTGAATGGAACCCAGGGTTTCCAAGGATGTCCTGGCCAGAGAGGTGTCAAGGTAAGCCCTTTAATATTAACCCTGCCATTCAAGTTGTATGGTTTAATTGTTATATATTGTTTTGTTCGTGAATACAATAATCTAACACTCTTTATTTCTATTTAGGGGTCTCGTGGATACTCAGGAGAAAAGGTACGTTTCTTTCTTTCTTTCTTTCTGTCTTTCTTTCTTTCTTTCTTACATTCTGACAAAAAAAGGCTAACCCACTGCCCCCTTATTTCAGGGTGAAGCTGGAGAACTTGGTCTTGATGGCATCAATGGAGAAGAGGTGAGTCATGTATTTTGTCTTTTATGCTATGTGTTCCATATATTAACAATTAATCATACAAAATCATATAAAATTATCAGCTTTAAAGGCTGTGTTTGATTTGGTTTTAGGGCAAAAGTGGTGTGGCTGGGCCCCCTGGAGAAAGAGGAAACCCTGGCAGAAGAGTGAGTGACTAGATGCATCTGGGTTGTTTTTTTTCTTAATACTGAATATGGTTAATGCTGAGAAATTCTTTTGTTTTTTTAGGGTCCCAAAGGTGCCAAAGGACAAACAGGAGACATAGGACAACAGGGAATCAGAGGAAACCCTGTAAGAAGCTGATTATTATGGCATAGTTTTTGACTGATTTTATGTGCATCACTTTTATTTTGCATGCATACATAGTATGTGAGAAAGGAATGTGTAAGAAGAGAGTGTTACTAATGCTTCATGTGAAGCTGCACATACTTACTTTCTAATGAATACAGTTCTTGTGATTAAGGCAATGTTTAAATATGGTTATTTTGTTTGGTTTTTTTAAGACAAATTTGTATTTATTGGTGTTTGGATGTAGCAGCGACTGAAAGAGTGATTTCTGTTTAATAGGGAACAACTGGACAAGATAACAACCAGGCAGGACCCAAAGGAGACCCTGGTGATGCTGGACCAGCGGTAATACCCCCCTGAGCTAATTATAGTGCTGCTGAAATAAATTCTGCATCTCTGTACTCAATTTAATTTTTGAGGCTTAATATCTCTTGTATATTGTTCGTTTGTTTTGTTGTTTTATTTTTTTTTTGGATATCTCTCAGCATGAATTTAATTCACTGGGATGTTTGTCCTGTATGACAGGGAGAGCCTGGTCAGGATGGAAGGAGGGGAGGCCCTGGTGAACCTGGAAGAAGGGTAAACGCTTTCACTGTCTTTTCTGATCACTTACTTGCCAAAGATTATGTTAATGAAGTTTTTTTTTTAAATTTACTCATTCCTCATTAGGGACCCAATGGTAGAAGAGGTTCACTTGGACCAGCTGTAAGTGCCTTTTTCATTGTTAAAATAGAGTTTAATACCTGCCCTCGTAATGACAGTAACATCTTTCTGCATTATCATTAAAGGGAAATGTTGGAGGCCCTGGATCGCCTGGTGTGCAGGGAGAGTCTGGTATTGATGGACCAAGGGTAAGTTTGTCATCTTCTCACCCTATTTTGGTGCATATCTGTCTGTCTGTCTGTCTGTCTGTCTCATGAACTGGTACTGCAGCTCTAATATGTAAGTAAGTGGTGCATCACTGATGGCGGATTTGTCTTTTTCCAAGGGTCCGCCTGGACCAAATAGTGCACCAGGAGCAAGAGGAGAAGATGGAAATCCTGGACCTAGAGTGAGTGAATACAATAGGTCAAATTTTCTATGTTGATTGCATTCAAAATCTAATTTTAATGTTCTAATTTCTTCTATTCTAGGGTCCTGGAGGTACCCCAGGTCCTAGTGGAGAAAAAGGTAGAAGAGGACCTCTTGGCCGCAAGGTACTGAATGGAACTAAATTTGGAGTGGCTCATGTTCTTTCATAACAAGTTTGATTTAATCATAAACACACTGGCTTAAGCCAAGCTCTATCACATTACTGGACATACATGTGGAGTCTATTTCAGTGAACCAGAAAGCACTGTAAGAAAACATTAAGGATCTCCTTGCAAAACAAGCACGTTATTAGTTAAATCTATAGTAAACCAATCATATTAAATATATATAGTCACACTTTATTCATCACTTTGACATTTACCTTACATCTAAAGGTATTTCATTATCTTCATATCTTTGTAGGGAGAGCCAGGAGAACCAGGACCTAAAGGTGATGTTGGACCACCTGGCCCCTTTGGAGAGCCTGTAAGAGCAAATCATCTTATTTTATTGCAATGTTACTGAATGTAAATTTTCTGAATATTGAGCAAGAAATTATTGTTTAATTGGGGGGGGGGAAGGGAAGATGATAGCGTTGCTATTGTTTTCCCTCTGCTACCCCAGTATTTTGAATTAAAATATGTTTTTCTTTTACAGGGTGAAGATGGTAGAGATGGTTTTGGTGTTCAAGGGCCTAAAGGAAGAAAGGCAAGTGATTTGTGAACTGAACATGCCTAATTAAAGATAACAACCCCTTCTGTAATGTTGAATAGAGCTGTATACAGGGTGATGGCTCTGATGCATCCAAAATAAAAATTATTTTTGCAGTTTTATACAAAGAGTACTTAATGCATATGTGATTCTTCTTTACAGGGAGATGAAGGATTCCCAGGATTCCCAGGTCCCAAGGTAATGCAGAACACTAGCAGTGAACCTTTAAAACAAACTGTTGTGTTTTCCTCAGATGAGTAAACTTATTATTAGATACTCGTCATTTCCATTTATCCTCTTTTTATCCATCATTTCAGGGAGCAGCTGGAGACCCTGGCACCTCGGGTGGACCTGGATCCAGAGGAAATCGTGGACAGAGGGTAAGTTTTAAGTCCACATTTGAATAAGGTTAATATACACGTCTGTTACAGTTTCATCAGATGCCCCAGCTTTGTTCCAGATCTCAGCTGAGCAGATGTGTTTGCTGTTGTAAAGTAGAGGACAGGTTCTGAAGTTTTGGTTTAAATATATATCATGCATTCTTGGCAGCAAATGACTTGCATGCACATTTGTTTTATGTTTGAAGATAGCAAAGTACAGGGACTGATGGTCTGTTTGAAAGTACGGACATCTGAACTGCTTTAAATGTGAATTTCTTTCTTTCCCCTAACTGTTAACTATTTCCAGGGAGTCTCTGGGGATATTGGTACACAGGGACAAAAGGGAGAAGTTGGATATCCTGGGCCATATGTAAGCATCAAAAAATCTATTTTACAACTTGCGTGAATTTAATTTGCATGACATTATGTCATCAACAAGTTTATTTCAAGTTCATTTATAACTTTGCCTAGATACAGGTGTTTCATGTTTAAATACACAGTTATGGCCAATTTCTTTATATTATTTTATAACCTATTAGTGTAAGCTCTTCACCTTATCCCCCCCAACTGGTTGCGGCAGATGACTGCCCCCTTCCTGAGCCTGGTTCTCTCTGAGGTTTCTTACTGTTACAAGGGAGTTTTCTTCCCACTGTCGCCAAAGCTCTTGCTCATAGGGGGTCATATGATTGTTGGGGTTTTCTCTGATTTCTTTGTATTATTGTAGGGCTTTTACATTACAATATAAAGCACCTTGAGGCAACTGTTGTTGTGATATGGCGCTATATAAATAAAACTGAATCGAATTATATTGGCTGTAACTCTCACCCCTAGGCTGGATGTTTATTTAGTTGCTGATACCCTGTTTTCTCTCTAACAGGGTATCAAAGGACAAAGAGGACAAGGAGCTGTGGTATTTGATCAGATATTTGTGTGAACTGCATTGAACAGAGCATTATTCTCATAACTTTACTCAGTTCTACGCATCACAGCCTTTTTTTAAAGAAATGTTTCTGTGGTTTCTTTGTTCCCTCAGCAATGTGACCTTGTCAGAAAGATCAGAGACAATTGTCGTAAGTATAATTTAGTAATTTTCAGCAATGTGATTTAATTTATTTTTGTGAACTATTAATGCCTATGCACTGTGTGCTTCATGAAACATCTTACCATATTCTGTGCAATTTTCTTTACCAGCTTGCTGCTTTGGTAAGTGCAAAATGATTTGCTAATGAAATAATAATTTCTTCGACTTAGACTTTTTGTTTATGTACTGTATCCACAACCACAGTGAGAACAAAAATCCTTTATGTTGACATCATTAGGTAAGCAGGAATGCCCACTCTACCCCACTGAGCTGGCTTTTGCCCTCGACATCTCACAAGGCCTTGGCCGTCCAGTCTTCAACAACATGCGTGACACAGTCCTAAACATAGTCAGAAAAATTACAATCGCTGAAAGTAACTGTCCAAGAGGAGCTCGTGTTGCTTTGACCCTGTATAACAACGAAGTCACCACTGAGGTCCGGTTTGCTGATGCCATGAAGAAACGTGCCCTGGAGGAACGCATTGAAGGACTTCAGATCCCACAGACAAGAAAGCCCCGCAACTTGGAAACAGCCATGAACTTTGTGGCCCAGAACACTTTCAAGAGGATACGCAGTGGCTTCCTCATAAGGAAGGTAGCCATCTTCTTTGTAGGTGATCAAGTTGGTCGGCCACAAGCAATTACTCGTGCAGCCCTCCGCCTTCACAATGCTGGAATTGCCACTTTGCTGCTGGTCAGACAGGAGGACAGAGCACTCTCCAGAGCGGTGCAGGTAACATAACAACATACAGCCAAAGCAAATGTTAATCTTATAGGCCATCAGTTTGTATTCAACTTATAACTTTCCTCTCCTTGTATACCAGGCCAACAACACAGCACTGGCCCAGGTCATTGTCCTTCCCAACGCTAATAGTCCACAGTACAATTCAGTCATCCAGAAGGTTATGAACTGCCATGTCTGCCTGGGTAAGACCTGTTTGGGTGGATTAGTATTTATGAAACAGCTTCTCACTTTTATTTTGTCAGATTTTGATGTACTTTTATCTAAGAAAAGAGCCATTTTTTCCAAGCATTGTATAAAAAGAGACTAGATGAAAAACTGTTGAATACAGATTGTCTCAGTCCATGTAAAGGAAAAAAAATGCATAATTTTATTTCTTTTTTAAGATTTCTGCTCTCCGGACCAAATCTGTGACTATGTTCCCCCAACGGCTGGCCGAGATAGGAGATCTTTCACCTCAGATGTCGACATTGACATTGCTTTTGTCATGGACAGCTCTGAGTCTACCTACCCAACTGTCTTTGCCGAGATTAAACACTATATATCTTACATGGTAGAGCATCTTCATGTGTCTTCAAATCCCACATCATCTGCTAACCACGCCAGAGTGTCTGTGATTCAGCAAGCACCTTATGAGTTCCTAAATAACAAATCTGGGTCCCCCCTTCATGTTGACATTGGCTTGACTGAACACACTTCAGCACAAGATATTATCAAATTCCTGGTAGAGAAAACACCCCAGCTGGAAGGTGGCCGGGCACTCGCAGAGGCAATTGAAAGGACGGTGGATCAAGTGTTTGAGAAGGCACCTGTACAACGTGACAAAAAGGTACTCATACTGTTTGTGACAGGAAGTGTGGAACAAGACCAGGAGCAGCTGATACGCATTGCCACTGAGGTCAAGTGCAGGGGCTACTTCCTCGTCATCTTTGGTGTAGGTGAAACATTGAGTGCTAAGGATGCAAGTGTCTTGTCAAACATGGCCAGCGAGCCTTCAGATGTCTTCTTCAAGCAGCTGAAGAGTAGCTCAGACTTTTATGACAGAAACATCCAGACCTTTGGCCAGCTACTGCCCAAGTATATCAGTAGTAAGTTCAAGATATATTTTGATGGGCATGATACATTTTCAATACCTTTTGCTTTTCTTTTTTTAATATTTTAGAATAGATTCTATTTGTTACATCAGTCTAACAAATCCTGAACTAGTTGTGTTCTATGTTGCATTGCTTTTCAGTTGAAAATGCTTTCCACATGTCCCCTGAAGTCTCCAAAAACTGCAAGTGGTTTCAGAATGACCAGCCACTAAAAAACCCCTTCACACCATCACAGGAAGTGGAGTAAGTTTTGTAATTTTTGTAATGCTGTATTATTAATGCTGGAAACATTGGTGGTTTTCTTTACAATTTTTTTTCCCTTAACATTGCCACATTTGTAGGAAACACCAGAAGCATCATGAAAATCACCAAGCAGTTCATGAAAGAAAGCACAAGGGTAAGACTGTTGTTGAACAAATTTTTCTTTACTACTTTTGCATTTTCGGCTAGAAGTACTGACAGCTTTGGTCACTTTAAGTCATACACACTGTCGCTAACTGCTAAAATTGCCTGCCCATAATTCAATAATATTTTTACACTTGTTTTAGAATATTACTTTTATCATGCTTCACAAAGTAAAGATTACTTATAAATTTATGCTTCTTGGCCATGCAGCAAAATAACATTTGTTGACATCATCCACCACAACTACAACATACTCTTTTTCTGTTAATTTCTTACACACAGATGCAGAGGAGCTGCACGTCTCTAATGTCACCTCCAGCAGCTTGAAATTGCGTTGGAGCAGGCCAGATGCAAAGCTCTTTGTTTACTTTGAGGTTGTTGTGGTGAGGCTCCATGACCATGCACTGGTGCTGAAGACCAATGTGTCGGGTACAGAGCTTGCTGTGGACAACTTGGAAAGTGCTCAAATGTATCAGGCTGTAGTCACAGCTTACACGGCCGAGGGCCAAATTGTCTCTACTCTCAAAGGCGTCATTACTACAAGTGAGTTTATAAAGACAGCTTTAGCTTTTTCAGAAATTATTCATTCATATTTTGCATGTGTTGCATATTCAACTGTAAACATGCCATTGGGGTACAGAAGTACACAAGCACAAATGTGGAAGTCTTCAAAAGCTCTTATGGAGACCACTTAAAAAGAGCTAGCTTCAAGCTGTTACAGATGTAACTATCCATTACAGGTTGTGTATCCTAATAAATTTTAGGGGTGTATAATTCTCAGTATATTAGAGTTTGTTTTTTTTAATTACCACAGGCCTGATAACTTAATGGTGATTAGATCATAAACAAAACAAAAGTGTCTGCATTCTGATGTATACCATGTACATTCATTATTGAAACAATCTTTTGCTGAAAGGTACTTGCTCATAAAGAGTTGTTTGATGTTGGGTTTTTTTGTTTTGTTTTTTTAAACCACTGTAGGATTTTTACCTTGCAATGTAAAGTGCCCTGAGGCAACTGGTGTGATTTGACTCGAAATAAATTACCCCGAATGGAATAGAATACAACCTCTACCAGATTACCATACTTTGAATACAGATTACCCCACATAGGTACTGCAGTACAGGAGGAGGAAACTGTAATATGTGTGGACATTGGTATTAACATTTGTATTAACACCATGTAACACTGGTCTTGATTTCACAGCTGTCCCAACCCTGTGATTCAAATTAAATAGTTCCCCAAAATGGCAAAATAAAATGAACTAGCTTGTTTTAGCTTCTTTGGTTTTAGGGACCACCTCAAGCCGCAGACACACCCTAAGAATTGCCCTTTCCTAGCTAAATAAATTAATTTATTGCATGCTTTCTATTTTTAAAGTTGTATTGACAAATACATTATTTATTATTTCACAGAAGCAGCTGAGCATAAGCTTGCCAGCCAAAACACAAGTACTCCAAATACCACACCCCTGGACAAACCAGAAACTGGTGAGTAACTTTGCATGCTTGTGTCTGTATATTGCTTGGAAACTTCTTTGCTTTTATAACATTTCCTATATAATTAGCAGCCATATATCGGAATACCAGTATATTGGACCTGTAATCAAAATGGGCCAGTAATATATCTTCGAAGTAGCCCCCATAGAGTTGTGTTTTGCTGGGTTTCCAAGGTATTATATTAGCTATGTAAATAAAACCTGTAGGTTCAAGTCAAAGATCGTGGTCTTCTGTAATGCAGCAATATCAAATGGGACTACTGCACTAATATTTTATTTATCAAGTCACTAGTACGTGCAAAGATACACCGCAAGTTGTTTACAAAACCTTACAAAATCGGCAGTTTAAGCCCTAGTGTCTCGGTTTGTTAATCTAATCTTTTCCCTTATGTATCGTGACAAACAATGCACTTGTGGGTAAAATGTGTGGCACTATGAAGGAGTTTGTTTCATCAGAAAATACCAAAGGAAAAGAAACCTTATAGCTGTTGGTCCTTGTGAAAGGCATAGAATTTAGAGCACAACTAAGGCATGAAAACACAAAAGTAACTAACATTTAATGAATTTAGTTACAACTAACTTGTCAGATCCATCCATGAAAACTTAAAAATAATCTTCTTTCATTCTAATCACAACTTTTTTATTTTTTAAATAAGCAAAACCTCTTCTAATATATTGCAATTATCCAGACTCCCATGTAGTGGATATAGTCTCATGCTGAATGCCATTTCTTTTCCTCTGCAGGCACTTAAACTAATTTAAAACCCCTTTCAAATACATCTGAACTTCTAATACATTTGTTTACTTGCTACTTTCAAAGCTTACAGTTTGTTGTATGCTGTATTTGTTCATCTAATCCTCACACAAATGCATCCTCTTTCTCTATTTGTCCTCCATCACTGCTATATCACAGCTATCTGTTTGTTTGTTTGTTTTTTGTTCTGCATGTTCTAGTTAATGAATTGGCAGGCCCATGCTCGCTTGACTATGACCCTGGAATGCCCTGCAAAGACTATGAGGCTAAGTGGTTCTTTGACAGAAAGAACGGGTTCTGTGTACAATTCTGGTATGGAGGTTGTGGAGGGAATGGAAATAGGTTCGACAGTGAGGCCCTCTGCTTGAAAAACTGCGTGAGGTCAGGTAAGTGCAGAGGTGGGTCAAGTATCAAAAAATTGTACTCAAGTAAGAGTAGCATTACTTTAAACAGCGGTCTCCAACCTTTTTTGCGCCACGGACAATATTTTCACGGACCGGCCTTTAAGGTGTTGCGGATAAATACAACAAAATAAAACTAGTTCCGGTACCGAAAAAAAGAAAATTTATTCATAACACACGTGAAAAGACCCAGGAAAGCTGAGTTAACGATAAAAACGGTAACAAAATAACGCTGAAAACCGATAAAAACCCTGAAAACCATACATTTCACACCTGAGCCTCAACTCTCGCGGCCCGGTACCAAACGAGTCACGGACCGGACTCATACCATAAATTGTATGGGTGTGCATTTATTTCTGCATATTTAGAAAAATATGCCATTTCTTCACTCACTGAGGTGATGGTTAAGCTTCAGCAGCAGTTTGCTCTCAAGGTTCTTTCTGTGAAGCTGTAACTGTTTAGCAGTGAACAGGAGTCCTGCATGACTCACAAGTCCTTCACAAGCTCCAGATGCAGGAAGAGCTATATTGACTTTGATCGACAGCTTCTTGATGTGAGGAAAGCCATGCAATACATCCACACCTCCAGTGAATGGACATGAAAGGTACCTCTCCAGATCCCCTGCTTCTGGCTTTCCTGACCCCATGGATCCATCTTCGTCGAATAGGCCGCTGTTTGTGCTGGCCTCATCCAGCTCTGTGTCTAGGTGATGTCTGATGAAGTGGAGACCTGTGGAAAGATGTATGGTTTTCAAAAGAATTACCGTATTTCCCGGACTACAAAGCGCACCTGAATATTAGCCGCACAAGCTAAAATCAGGGGAAAATCCTGTTTTGTACATACATTAGCCGCACCTGACTAAAGGCCGCAGGTGTTTCAATGTTGACTTGTCATATGTAAGAGAATATGCACAAAGGGAATTGTCAGGAAAGAGATGGCTGTTTGGAGACACACCCCTTTTATTAATATTTTGAAAAACAAGTTATGGGTACATATTTGCATAACTTTTTAGGTATATGTACAAGTAGCGGTAATTACAAGTACGAAACATGTACTGTGCTTCATAAATGAGTAACAAATGTAGTACATAACAATAACCTACAGCACACCAGAGAAATAGATTCAGACTACCTTTTAGGCTCAGGTGCAGTGACACGGCTTTAACAAGAAGAAAAGTCAGTCATTCACCACCATCTTCCTGCGCACTAAAACCACCAAAGTCCTCTTCTCCAGTGTCGGATACGAACAGGCTCAGGATGGCTTCGTCATCCCCTCTCAGCTCCTTTCCTTCGTTGTCACTTTCAAAACCAAACAAATCATCGTTGTCAGTGTCAGAGTCGAACACCCTCTGAAGGGCCATGGCGGTGTCCTCCTCTCCATCATGCAGCAGTCCAGCCCTTCGAAATCCGTTGGTGATCATGGATGTTTGCACACTTTTCCACGCTGTCAGATTCCACCGGTGGAGTTGAGCATAACTTGCTTTTCGCAAGTTTATCGCCGCTCGTCATCCACGACTCCCGCTGAATGCATAGCGCTACTTTGAAGTTTGTTTTTCACGCTACTTGTACAGCACTATGTTGCCTGGCGGATGGACATGTGACCAACATACCACTCTTGAACCCCGATACTGTGTGTCTGATCACATGCCCTTCCGCCAGGCAACGTAGTGCTGTACAACAGCGGAACAGAAAAGCCGCACCTGACTAAAAGCCGCAGGGTTCAAAGCTTGTGCAAAAAGTAGCGGCTTATAGCCCGACAATTACGGTAGGTCTGGTCATTATAGTGCTGTATACACTGCCAAGCTGCAGATGTTTGTTTGGAGCTAGCCTCCAAAAGCTGGGCATACACTGTGCGATTTTTGGCCCATTTTGAGACGATTTTTCACTCGCGCAACCATTTTGGGGATCGGCCCGAGTTTTGCCTTAATCGTGTGTGCATCGTGTAGTATACATGGGGTAACGAAAAGCAGTTAACACCTCACGACCAGCTCCCAATCATCAATCATATGGTCCCATGATAATCAAACCTGTTTGAAATCCTGTCGCCCCTCAACGCAACCTCTCACACTGCGCACACACAAACACAGAAATGAAAGTGAAAAGGTGGAGCAGCACGTCAGTGCAGCGTGTGATCTGGACACAAGAGATTGAGGCACAACTTGTAGGATGAGGCAAGCTCATCCGAGTACGTAAGCTAGAGCTGCCACCCAGGCAAAAGAAAAATAGAGCTATATCACGTTATAACGTTAAAAGTTTATTGTTCTAACAATATACTTTTCATGTTCGTGCAATATACCTTTCGAACGTGATAATTATGTATATTGTACAAACATGAAAAGTATATTGTTCGTTATAACATGATATAGCTCTATTTTTCTTTTGCCTGGGTGGCAGCTCTACGCTTACGTATCGGAGGCTTTTCAATGTGGCCTCACAAACTAATCACGACTACAACAACCATGAAAAGAGTTGGATGGACATTGCTGCCCAACTGCAGCTGCCTGGTCAATGTTTTTCATTAGTAATTTAGCAAAGTTGATGGTGGTGGTGTGTCTGTGTGAGTGAAAGACACAAAGAGGGAGAGCGAGAGACAGATTTTGTATGATAAGCTTTATGTTATGGATGCACAGTTTGAGCACTCAGGTCGCATCAGAGCATCAGGCCCTGCATCGTGACCTATGAACTTCTAACCTCTGCTATTTAATTGTACAGTTTGAGCAGGAGCGGAATAACGTGACTAAAAAAAATCGCAGTGTTTGACCAGCTTAATGCAGACTGTTTAAACTAAACAAGCTGCTGTTCCGCATAATAAACCCTGTCAGCCGCAGTATTGCCTTCTGTTTTAACAGTTTAAGCAGTAGAGACAAGCTGTTTGCATGTTCGTGGAACTCCAGCGTCATTAACCAGGCTAGCTGTTAGCTTATAGGCTAACCAGCGAGCAGCTAACAGGACAGCCGAAGCTGCACAAAACACCCACAAACTTATCTCACTACAACGTAGCGCCGAAAATATGACTCGCAGCTCGAGCTCGACACAGCTGCTGTAACATAAGACTGACATCCAGCTTACCACAGCTAAAAAGATATTTAGAGAGAACTTACCGTTTCCTCAGGTTACACGAGTTGAGTTGTTTCATGCTGAAAAGTTGGTTTGTTTTGGCTCTCACTGAAGACACCGACACAGAAGACATACCTGTTCTTTTGTACTGCTTTTAAGCGAAACATCCTTTGTATGTGAGGAAAATGCTGTTCATCATCTTCAGCTCTAGCATAGACTCTGCCACGTTTTCATGTTTCTTCTTTCCGTGTGTCCGCTACTTTGAAACGCTTGGGTCGCTCTGCCCGCCACAGTTTCAAACTGGTCATGTGACTGCATGGCCACATCTCATTGGTAAAAAGGTTACCGGAAACTCCACTGGTGGCATGTTATCTAATGTGTTAAACTAATTATTTTTAAAAAAGTAATGAGTCGAATTTTGCAAATGTAGCGGAGTAAAAGTACCGTTTCTTCTTCACAAATGTACTCAAGTAAAAGTAAAAAGTATCGTGCAAAAAAGGTACTTTAAATGGTAAATGGCCTGTATTTATCTAGCGCTTTACTAGTCCCTAAGGACCCCAAAGCGCTTTACATATCCAGTCATCCACCCATTCACACACACATTCACACACTGTACTTAAAAGTACATTTTTTTCAAAAACTTACTCAAGTAAATGTAACGGAGTAAATGTAACTCGTTACTACCCACCTCTGGGTAAGTGATGTTGTCAGGATTTCAGTGGGAGTGTGCCATCACCTGGTTAATGCAACGTATGCAACATGGGCCTCAACTGGATATGCAAAACTTACTATTTAAATTGTCATTTTTGACATATATTACGGAGCCCCTCAAGGGACATGGGAGAAAAAAAAATGAAGATGAACTTTTGCGAAATCTCGCAAAAGTTCATAGAAAGGCTTATCATACAGCTACTTCATGAATAGGCCATTGTTTGAAGTCTAGCAGATCCCAACCTAGCCTAGTTGCAACCATCTGTCATTCCTAAAAATGCACCCTTTAATATAGTTCAAGCTGCTAGAGATTATTTTAAAATCAAAACCTTGTTAAAAATGAGGCACTAGTCATAGACACCAGAAATAATTATTTCTAGTCTAAAGCTAGTTTTTCAGGAGTCAGCTCACTTTGAGACAGTCTAATAGCATCCAAACCAGGTAGTAGGGGTGGGAGCTTATGAAACAGCCAATGAAAAATGTTGTGGTATTTATTTATGTATTTTATAACAACATCTGCCCCTTTAAGGTTAAACCACGGTAATATTTTTGTATTTTCACAGTGGGAGAGCCTCAGCCAATGGTGAAGCAAGTTGAACAGGTGGAGGTCCTCCCAGATCCTGGTAAGCTCCAATATACACTCACTGGCAATATTAAGACCTGAATATCATGATTACTTCTTTCCAAAAATATTATGTTACACATGCTTTCCTTGCCAACCCACTTTATTGATTAGCTGAAATTGATGTAAATGCATGTGCATGGTATGCAAATATTAACCAGAAGAAAATAAACTTTCCCTTTGGTCTAGTTTTAAGCAAGCAAATCCATATCAAACCTTTTTAGACCATCATTAAACATATACATAACAGCCACTGGCTTTGGAAGTAATATTAGTGTTACGTATATTTTCCACACTGCTGTACGCTGTGCTGACTTTGCAGTACAATTAATACTATGTCTTCAGGGGCATCTGGATCCTCTACTGCCCTTCACATTCTCTAAACATGGCTGAAGGTGCAAATAAAAAGCCAAGCCAAGGTTATGTTTTTTTCTCAATGGCGTGATCCAAGTCACATGGAGAAAATTAATGGAAAGAAAGCTATATTCAAGGATTCATTACTTTTTTTTAGCAGAAGGCTTATTAGATAACAAGGTTAAGTCATAACTTATCAGCTTTGGAGTAAACTGCCATCACATACTCACAGCTAGGAAATGTACTATAAACCTTTATCTACCTATATGTCCACATATCTCATCTCATATGGAAAACTGCTGATCCCATCAGTCACCAAATCTCATATTTAAAGTGTAATTTAGCACATATCGCATAACCTTTAGCTGCACATGTTTTCATCCTTTTACTGAATACTATTCTTTCTCATTTTCTTCCCAGCTGCTTTTACAGCTGTGGACATTTGCCAGCTTCCACAAGAAGAAGGTACTTGTGCCAAATTTGTTCTCAAGTGGCACTACGATGCTGCCAACAAGAGCTGCATGCGCTTCTGGTACGGTGGCTGTGGTGGAAACCAGAATCGCTTCGACACTTACGAGCAGTGTGTGAAGGCTTGTGGAAAACCAGGTACTCCTCTTGTTAGTAGTACTCTTCTCTCAGTAGGGACTGGTCATATTTAATGAATGGAAAAGTTGAAATCAGCTTGCTGTTCTGCGCTAAATGTCACAGTAAATGTAACAAGACATTAAGCACAAGTAAATCAAATCATGTGATGAATCATCTTAGATGTATAAATCTTTCAGATGGCTTATTGTTTAACTATTTGTCACAGATATGTTTAAGACAAATCTAGCAGAAATGAAAATATGCCCTTATTTTTCTCTCCTGTATCTAAAAATGAATTTTGTGACTTTTTGGAAGGAATTGACCCCAGATCAGGAAAAAACTTTGGAGTAAGGAGTTAAAATGCAGCACAAAACAGGCTGATTATAACAAAATAAAGTTTTATAGCTTATAATGATATTGAGCTATGTTTCACTCTTTTACCAAAAAGAGCCGCTGCTCAGAAAACAATATTATGAACCATTTCACTGTTTGCATGGGCAAGGAGACGCCCAACACAATCCCATAAAATAGGTTTAAAAGTCATAAGCCATCATTCTGAAGGAGTACAAGTTGATTACACTTATCACTGAAAAATGGTTGTTATCATGTTGCAGAAAATTGTATCTTCAAGCCTTTCTTAACTGGCTTAAGCACAAACTCCCCTGCCTTCCTTATCTAAATATGCTTTTAATAATGACCAAATTAGCTAGCCCATATTTGGTTGAATGTAAAGCATCTACATAGAAATAGAGTTAATAAATTGATGTTTAGTTGCTGCTAGCATAACACATACACTTCTCTAGACAGTCTCTTGAGAATCAAGTGATTAAATAGAGATTTAATAGAAATACACGTGGAATTTTGTCAAATACAAAGGACTTAATCATGTTTTCTTCTTCCTTCATCCCCAGAACCAGTGAACCAAAGAGTCATTGCTACAATAAAAACATAGGACGAAAGTCACAGACATGGCCAGCTCTTACCTCCATTTAGCAGATTCTGAGGAGAACCATCCAAAATGGGCATAAAGTAATGGTGGCTGCACTGGATTCCACAAACATGGACTTTATCCCCCAACTCTTGAAGTAGTCTTTTTCACAACAAGAAGGAAGCAACACAATTTGCTGCATGATTTGTTTTAACCTACTGGTGCTACATGATATGTTTGTTTTACAGAAGTTATTTAGTGGATTTGGTTTTGTAAAATCACGTTCTCTTGAACGATCACAGTTTTCATATTTTTTTAAAATTCAGTTTTATGATTTATGATTGTCGAATTTCCCAGAGGAACCCACCCGAGGGATTAATAAAGTTCTATCTTAAACAAGAAACATGTATGAATATCTTGGACAGTGTTTAGCAATGACTCAGTACATGAAGGATTTTAAAGCAGTAATCTTTTTTTATATTGTGGTTAAGTCTTCTTTTTACATTCCAGATTCACATAGCAGCATTGTTTTGTTTTTTTTTAAACTCACTTCATCCCTGTGGATTATTTCACTATTTCACTGTCACCAAATCCACAGCAATGTTTACACAAGTCTAGTGTGGCAGCGTGTGTGTATGTAAAGACAGCGACCAACTGCTGGGATGCCAACATTAATGTAATGTTTAGTGCACTTCTGGATCCGTTGCCTCAAACACAAGATTTCCAGCTATTGAGAAACAGAATGTACTTTTCAAGCTGTTTTTATTTTTCATTTCATTTTGGATTTGCAGAAAGTTATGTTCCATGTGGGAAAGGGTGAAATAAAAATGAATTAGACTTTCTAATAAACATGAGCAACTGATTCATTTTATTTCTTGTTTTGAATTAAATGTTGCACAGCAGTAAAATGCTAGACATTCATGTCACACAGAGATGTGTTTAATGGAAGTTCATTTGCAAAGTGATAGTTTACTTCATTGGAGTAGCATGATTTAGAGCAGGGGTATCAAATTTGCGGCCCACTTCAACCGTACTTACTTGTATATTGACATGAAGAAATATAATGCAATTTGGCCCTTGAAATTACATTTTTTGTTAAGGAGGACTTGTTTGCTGTTGAGTGCAATGTTAACGTAAGTAAAACAAAACATTATATAATATGAAGACAATATGAGCAGAGAATACATGTTGAGGGACTGGCTGTGTTAGTTCAGTGAGAGAGTTGGAGTAAAGGAAACAGTTTTCACTGCCAGTCAAAAACTACTGTGTACACTTATGACTGCATTTTTATTTTGTTAAATATGAACAAAATTATAGCAGAAGTCCTGCCACGTGTCTGGTCAGAGAGAGAGAGTAACAATGTGTTTATTTGATAGTTCAATGAAAGGCTTCAGTTAAGAGTGAGGGAAAAAAATTGCATTCACGTTTGCAGTTTTGTCTTGCAATACAATATATTTAAAAAACAACAAACAAACAAAACACTATATTTTCGGAGATTTTTGTACAACTTGAGCACTAAAGTGGCCCTCCAGTGAGATGACAGTGCTATCAGGGGGCCACAGCTCATTTAAGTACTGAGGTTTAGAGTTTTAGTTGGCAATCTGATTGCATTAACTAGAGAAAAGCAGAACAACAAGCACCTAGCATTTTAGTGCTGAACTTACTTTCAGTTGAATTAGTGGCCATTAGGATTGTAGACTTAGTTAACTTAGTTATTTTTCCAAGTATTTGTCTAAAATTTTAGGTTGATTTTTTTGTGGCAAGCTTAATTCTTTGTCAATCCTTTAGACCCCAGGCAATCTCTTTAACAAGACTAGATCCAAACCCTCCACCATTTTCAGATAGCTGCTGAGTAGGGCTTCCCCTGACCCCCGACCCCCCATATTTTTGGTAATATATGATGTCAGATTATCATAAACTACAAATCTTTATTGGGGTCAGAATGAATCCCAGATGGTTGTGCAAAGAGGAATCAAATGGTGAAGAACTAAAAACACAAGAGAAATGTAAAACATTCAGAGAAAACTCAGGCAGCACAACTGGTAACATAACAGATGAGAGAACAAAGAGACTGAGGAAGATAGAACTATGCATACACACTAGAGGAGGGCTAACTGGGGATTAGACAGTTCCTGGAACGAGACAATCAGGGGGAGAAGGACAGGAAGCACTGCAAAGGAAAATAAACTTTCACAGTAAAAGAGGAAATAACCAAAAGACATAAGAAACAAGGAAACAGAAAAGAACCAAGGAATAAACACAGAATAAGGGAAGCAGAAACACCAGAAAGATCATAACAGTTACTACTATAGCACTAAAACTGTTACAACTAAGTAGATGCAACCCCCCCCCCCCCCCCCCCCCAAAAAAAAAAAAAAAACCCCAAGAAAGCACTAAATCTAAAACTCATTAATATAGACATAAAGTAAACACAGAAACCTAGTATCATTAGGGCTGTACTATGAATTGGATTTGGGCTTATTGACTTCGGGCCTAACCCTGGGTTTTTTTGTACTATAAATGTGTTTCTCTTCACAACAGGATGTATCAACATGGTGAACGAAACCTGCTCCAGAGCAGGTAGTATTCAAGATTAGAGATCAAGAGGTATGAAATCACTGCCTATCACTGTAGAGAGGTGACAAATCAATTGTCTGGGAAAAACAAAAAACGTCACCATTCCTGGAAGACTCCTCAGACCTCTGCATGCAGATAGCTGATGGAAGACAGTTCATTTGTTTTTTCTGATGAGCATCAATAAGAAATATAGATTCTTAGACTCAACTTGTTTTATCCTGTTGGCTGCAAATATTTTCAAAGCAAGTTTATTGTTTTACACATATATATTTTTTCCTTTGTTAACCCCTTACCCTCCAGAGATTGCTCTACAAGACTAGATTTTAACCCTCCATCTTTTTCAGATAGCTGCTGAGTAGGTCTTCCTATGAAATATTTTTTCTACAGTTGAGTTGTTATAATCTATCAGATTCTCCTGTATTTTCATGATAGAGCTGTGATTTTGAACAGTAACAAGAGCTCATCTTCAGCTCAGCTTGCAGCATCTCCAATCCAGTAACAATAAGCTCAGAACCAAATTTTATGGAAGCCCTGTTGCATCCTTAATCCTTATAACTGACAGATTCTAATAATTCATCCTATCTTCACAAGTATGGTGAAAATGTCAGTGATTAATAACTATCCTATTTTTATACAGCACTATATTCTTAAAATCCCGACTACTTCCCAGAAACAATAAAAATCAAAATATTTACAATTAATTGTCTCTGACAGTTATGATCTCTGATTTATTCTCAGGGCAGCCACTGAAATTTTATTCTACTCCTTTGTGATTCTGTGAATGTAATGCATCCGTAAATCATTTCATAGATCATTTCTCTTTTTAACTTTTAAAGCAACACATTGTATTTGCAAGCTTTAAAGATTCCAAAGTGATCAGATAATCTTTCATAAGCATACAAAGGAGAGGAGAAATGCAAACAGCGTGTGAATATAAAAAGTCTGCAGATGTGATTTCTCTTCAGCCACAGCAAAATCTCCAGATGTCATCACTCATGGGTCTTTAAATATTATCAGTTCTTTCATCATCATTCTGTATCTTACCACAACCATCCTCGTTTCCCATTATGCAACAGAATGTAACATTAGTAACAGAAAGTTAAACTAAATGTTCATCTTAAAAAAAGATTCATATTATCATTATTGAGATTATAGTTCTTTTAAGCTAGAAATGACCATATTTGAATGACGGAATGGGAGGCTAAGTTATGTTAAATGAAATGATTCTTATACAGTGCTTTTCTACTCTATCTGAGCACTCAAAGCACTTTATACAACTTGCCTCACTCACCTTGCACTTTTCCCCTATAATCTTTCTATCAAAGGTTCATACTCAGATAAATGCATCAGAAAGCACCTTGGGATTAGGATCTTGCCCAAGGATATTAGTATGCAGACTGGAGCAGACAGAGATTGAATCACGAACCTTCCAATCAGTAGCTGACCTGCTCTACATCCTGAGCTACACTCACCCAACACATCAGTAGCGTAGGCTGTCTCATGACAGATAAAATGGTCACCTAAGGTTAACAAGCCTGGTCCACAGAAACGAAGCACCAACTCCTTGGATGGTACGTTAAGTGCACAGTGAGCCATATTATTAGCCTAGTAATTTCACTAAAATGCTTGAGTTCAGTAATTAAAATTAGCTCAGGTGAAACCTAGCAGATGGAACATGGCTACAGTTCATTCCCCAAACACCTGCCAATCATGTCCCTCACTCCAGCAGTCATCAAGACATTGATTTATTGGATTGAAATATTTTTAACCCTCAGTGGTTACTAATCAGTACTGTGCCAAATATCTTTGTATCTGCCAACTTTGAGCAGTTTCACTGATGACATAACAGTGGCAACAAAGTCCAGTTTCTGCCTTTTGTAGATGATGTCCTTTTGTTGGTTTCACTGAGCCATGTCCTCATGCTTGTGATGACAAGGTTCACACCCAGTTTTATTGATGTTTTTGATTCTTAGAGGACCAAAATTTACAAAATGGTCATTTTATATTTATAGAACTTGAAGCTAGAAATTGAGCCCATAAACTCTTCAGCTCCTGTTACTCAGATCACAGGGCGGTTTACCCATTTATTTTAATACTCTTGACTTTTTTTTTTGCAAACATAGGAGTGACGCATGAGTGTCATTACAAAGAATCCTGGTTTAAGACAAGCCTGTACTGGCTTTGCTTTTATACACAATCTGTGCTCATCCATTCATTCATCAATTTTCTGCTGGTTATCTTTTTTTGCATTGCAGGGGCAGCTGTCTGAGCAGAGACAGCTACCCCTGCATCCAGTGAATCCTGGGTGTGCCAAGGACCTGCTTGGGACAGGACATGCCCGGAATACTTCACCCAGGAAACGCCCAGGAGGCATCGAAGTCAGATGACCGAACCATGCCAACTGGCTACTTTCAATATAGAATATGGCAGAGCCCATTACTGAGCACAGTAGTGGTACTCAGAGATGGGCCTCTAATTCTCCTTTGGTTGGAAAGAGTGACTGGAAAGAAAAGTGAAGGCAGTTTAACCAGCAGATTAACACTTTGGAATGTCATTTTTAGCAAACACATAAGGGTGATGTTCAGATATCTACTCATATGTAGCTAAATACTCTATTTGCAAAAGGCCACACCAATCAAATATAACGTTTTTCTTTTCTTTTCTTTTTTTACAAGTACTGCTCCAGACATGATACATAAATAGACAAAAACCTCACCCTATGATCTAGTTGTTTTGGTTTTCCACGCTTTGCTGTTAAGGCTTTAGTTAAAGTATTTTGAATGACAAACATCACATACAGTCAGACCTTGTTAGCATATCACAAACATTCCGCTAGAGGACAATAATTCAAAACCAGTTCTTTAACTAAAAACAACTGCTCACAATTAGTGGTGAGACTTGATGTATTTACACCAGTGCTGTCTTTTTCTCTACATGGGTGGGAATTTGTACTTTTGGTCTGATGTGTCAAAGATTGGTTACATTGCTTGAGGCTAAAATTCAGATGTACACATGTAATCCTCTTCTGAGATACTGAATATACACATTTGTGGGTTGCATGTTTCTGGAGTTTATCACTAACACACTTGTCACAGTTGTCATTTTTCTCCTTTATATCTATCAGAGTAAATGGTTTGTTTTGAGCAATGATGGCACACTGTGGTGCAAACTGATCAAATATGCAAGAGCTGATGCAATGAATCAGTAACTCATCCAGCCACCAGCAGTGACTTCTGAACAGTATATTTCATTTTTTAAATCTTCTTTTTCGAACAGTTAACATGG